AAGTTTTCAGTCGATACCACATTGGCAAGTGGGTTAACATTGAGTTTCAACATTTGAGGATTCAACAACAGACAGAGTGAGTTAATAAAAAGCGTGTAAAAAGGTTGTTTAAAAATCTATTTTTAATGATAGAATCTAGTTTTGTTATCAGTGTGACACAAGTGATAGCAAGTTTTCAGTCGATACCACATTGGCAAGTGGGTTAACATTGAGTTTCAACATTTGAAGATTCAACAACAACAACAGACAGAGTGAGTTAATAAAAAGCGTGTAAAAAGATTGTTTAAAAATAAATTGTTAATGATAGAATCTAGTTTTGTCATCAGTGTGACACAAGCATAGCAAGTTTTCAGTCGATACCACATTGGCAAGTGGGTTAACATTGAGTTTCAACATTTGAGGATTCAACAACAGACAGAGTGAGTTAATTGAAAGCATGTAAAAAGATTGTTTAAAAATGTATTTTTAATGATAGAATGTAGTATTGTCATCAGTGTGACACAAGCATAGCAAGTTTTCAGTCGATACCACATTGGCAAGTGGGTTAACATTGAGTTTCAACATTTGAGGATTCAACAACAACAGCAGACAAGAGTGAGTTAATTGAAAGCGTGTAAAAAGATTGTTTAAAAATCTATTTTTATTTTTAATGATAGAATCTAGTATTGTCATCAGTGTGACACAAGCATAGCGAGTTTTCAGTCGATACCACATTGGCAAGAGGGTTAACATTGAGTTGCAAGATTTGAGGATTCAACAACAACAACAGACAAGAGTGAGTTAATTGAAAGCGTGTAAAAAGATTGTTTAAAAATCTATTTTTATTTTTAATGATAGAATCTAGTATTGTCATCAGTGTGATACAAGTGATAGCAAGTTTACAGTCGATACCACATTGGCAAGTGGGTTAACATTGAGTTTCAACATTTGAGGATTCAACAACAACAACAGACAGAGTTAATTAAAAGCGTGTAAAAAGATTGTTTAAAAATCAATTTTTAATGATAGAATCTAGTTTTGTCATCCGTGTGACACAAGTGATAGCAAGTTTTCAGTCGATACCACATTGGCAAGTGGGTTAACATTGAGTTGCAACATTTGAGGATTCAACAACAACAGACAAGAGTGAGTTAATTGAAAGCGTGTAAAAAGATTGTTTAAAAATCTATTTTTATTTTTAATGATGGATTCTAGTATTGTCATCAGTGTGACATAAGTATAACAAGTTTACAGTCGATACCACATTGGCAAGTGGGTTAACATTGAGTTTCAACATTTGAGGATTCAACAACAACAACAACGGACAATAGTTAATTGAAAGCGTGTAAAAAGATTGTTTAAAAATCAATTTTTAATGATAGAATCTAGTATTGTCATCAGTGTGACACAAGCATAGCAAGTTTTCAGTCGATACCACATTGGGAAGTGGGTTAACATTGAGTTTCAACATTTGAGGATTCAACAACAACAACAACAGAGTTAATAAAAAGCATGTAAAAAGATTGTTTAAAAATCTATTTTTATTGATAGAATCTAGTTTTGTCATCAGTGTGACACAAGTGATAGCAAGTTTTCAGTCGATACCACATTGGCAAGTGGGTTAAAATTGAGTTTCAACATTTGAGGATTCAACAACAACAGAGTTAATAAAAAGCGTCTAAAAAGATTGTTTAAAAATCCATTTTTAATGATAGAATCTAGTTTTGTCATCAGTGTGACATAAGTATAGCAAGTTTTCAGTCGATACCACATTGGCAAGTGGGTTAACATTGAGTTTCAACATTTGAGGATTCAACAACAACAACAGACAAGAGTGAGTTAATTGAAAGCGTGTAAAACGATTGTTTAAAAATTTATTTTTAATGATAGAATCTAGTTTTGTCATCAATGTGACATAAGTATAGCAAGTTTTCAGTCGATACCACATTGGCAAGTGGGTTAACATTGAGTTGCAACATTTGAGGATTCAACAACAACAGACAAGAGTGAGTTAATTGAAAGCGTGTAAAAAGATTGTTTAAAAATCTATTTTTATTTTTAATGATGGATTCTAGTATTGTCATCAGTGTGACATAAGTATAACAAGTTTACAGTCGATACCACATTGGCAAGTGGGTTAACATTGAGTTTCAACATTTGAGGATTCAACAACAACAACAACGGACAATAGTTAATTGAAAGCGTGTAAAAAGATTGTTTAAAAATCAATTTTTAATGATAGAATCTAGTATTGTCATCAGTGTGACACAAGCATAGCAAGTTTTCAGTCGATACCACATTGGGAAGTGGGTTAACATTGAGTTTCAACATTTGAGGATTCAACAACAACAACAGAGTTAATAAAAAGCATGTAAAAAGATTGTTTAAAAATCTATTTTTATTGATAGAATCTAGTTTTGTCATCAGTGTGACACAAGTGATAGCAAGTTTTCAGTCGATACCACATTGGCAAGTGGGTTAAAATTGAGTTTCAACATTTGAGGATTCAACAACAACAGAGTTAATAAAAAGCGTCTAAAAAGATTGTTTAAAAATCCATTTTTAATGATAGAATCTAGTTTTGTCATCAGTGTGACATAAGTATAGCAAGTTTTCAGTCGATACCACATTGGCAAGTGGGTTAACATTGAGTTGCAAGATTTGAGGATTCAACAACAACAACAACAGACAAGAGTGAGTTAATTGAAAGCGTGGAACAAGCGGCTTTTGAGATTTGGCCACGTGGAACATTCTCCGGGGCTCCCGTTGCGGAGGAGAGGCTGCCGCTCCTCTTGTCGGGAGGTGGACCGGTAAACCGTCTGGACCTATGCGGGAGGTGGTCCGGTGGACCGGTTCTGGCTCCCCCCGCCCCCCCCGAAGTCACATCATGAGCAGGTGGACAGTTCTCCGCTCGGGGCAGGAAACCGCCAAAACAGCAGAGGAGGTGGCACTTGTTTCGAACGGGATAATGTGAAGGGGGTTTGATGGTGGTGTCCGATGCGGCGAGCCCCCAGGCTACTGTGGGCCTTGGCCTTACCCGTCGACAAGAGAGGCGAGGGAATGTGGTGGCGGTTGCTCACGACCCCACCGAAGATGAACCGTCAGTGGAGGGAGCCTCCATCCTGTTTGGGCGACTTTAATGCCCGGGCGGTTATTGACGTCGCCTAACAGGAGTGATCGGAAGGCATGGGCCGGATCAGCTCGGGAATAACGGATGGAGGCAGCTAGACTTCTGTACAGCCCCATGGGCTTGTTATCACGAACACGCTGGTCCGGCATCGGCACATCCACGAAACATCATGGATGCACGCCCGGGTCCAGGCAAGAACATCTGCTGGACTACATAATTACAGACCAGGACCTACCGTTAGAGCTGATCTGCCCATCGGCTTGTCATCCGTAAGACGCGCCTGCCATTCTTCCACTCTTGTGGTGGGTGTACACCCAGGACCCCATTCCGACCTAAAGTGGCCTGGTCTCAGTTATCTGATGAAAGTTGCAAGCGAGAATTTCATCACCGCTTGCGGCTGGGGTTGGCATCGTCCCCGACTCCTGATGTCGAGGGTAAATGGGCGAGGTTTAGGACTGTGGCTCATGCAGCTGCAATGGCTGCTTTGGGTACGCGGTCCAGACCTCCCCAGAGACCCTGGCTGACAGAGGAGGTGTTCAGGATGGTTGAGAAAAAGCGACAGGCCCACTGTCATCGGCTACAGCATCCCACGTCAGAGAATGAGGAGGCTTACCGCAGCCTTCGCTCGGAGGTTTCGGAGAGCCGTGAGGCGCTGCAAGGATGGGTGGTGGTCGCGGGTCGCTGAGGAGATGGAGTCTGCCTCAGTAGCCCACCATCACAAATCGCTATTTAATTCCATCTACAGAGTAACATGATGTGGAGCTGAGTGGACTGGCCGATGACTGGTATCAGCGGTGTCAAGATCGGCCTCTATGGAGGAGGCTCGTGAAGGACGCTGCTGCTGGGCAGTTTAAGGCAGTCGCCCTCCAACAACAACGGAGGGCGTAGGAGCGACGCTCACAACAATGAGCGGAGCATCGGGCGGCTAAAATGCAGAAAGTTGGGACAGTAGGGGAGGTACAGTTGGTGGTGCATCTACCGGAAGTCATCTCAGTCAACCCATGGCACCTGCTGGGTCTGTCCCATGGCCTGCACAGCTGGTGGTGGATCTGGTGGTCGAGTGGGGTGGGTGGGGTAGGTGGGTGAGTGGGGTAGGTGGGTGAGTGGGGTAGGTGTGGGGTGGGTGTATGTGGTGTGTGGTAGGTAGGTGGGTGAGTGGGGTGGGTGGTCTGGTGGGGTTGGTGTGGTGTGTGTGTGGTGTGGTGAGTGTGGTGTGGTGAGTGTGGTGAGTGTGGGTGTGGTGAGTGTGGTGTGGTGAGTGTGGTGACTGTGGTGTGTGTGTGTGGTGTGGTGAGTGTGGTGTGTGTGTGTGGTGAGTGTGGTGTGTGTGTGTGGTGTGTGTGTGGTGAGTGTGGTGTGTGTGTGGTGTGTGTGTGGTGTGTGTGTGTGGTGTGTGTGTGGTGAGTGTGTGGTGAGTGTGGTGAGTGTGGTGTGGTGAGTGTGTGGTGAGTGTGGTGTGTGTGGTGAGTGTGGTGTGTGTGGTGAGTGTGGTGTGGTGAGTGTGTGGTGAGTGTGTGGTGAGTGTGGTGTGTGACGAGGGGTGAGTGTGAGAACCTCCCCCACCCATGAGACTAAAAGTTTCCCCACTGAGTCTAAATCCTGCCGCCCCCCCCCCCACCTTCGCGCCCTCCTCCCCCACCCCCCACCTCCCCCCCCACCTCCCTCCCCCCCACTACCACCACCACCTCCCCCCCCACCTCCCTCCCCTCCTCCCCCCCACTACCACCACCTCCTCCCCCCACACCACCTCCCACACCACCACCTCCCCCTTCTTCCCCCACATCCCCCCTTCTACCACCTCCCCCCCCCACCACCTCCCCCCCCACCACCTCCCTCCCCCCCCACCACCTCCCCCCCCACCCACCCTCCCCTCCCCCCCCCCCTTCCCCAGGACAACGGCGGCCCTCGCAACCAGCAGGACCGCTACCGCAACGGCGCCGACGGCGGCGTCGCCGGCGCCCTGGGGAGCGTCGGGGCCCTGGGCGGCGCCGACTTCGGCGCGGCGGCGGCGGCGGCGGCCGGCGCCTACGGCGCCGCGGGCGCCTACGGCAGCGCGGCGGCGGCGGCCGCGGCCGCGGCGGCCTACGGCGGCGGCTACCACCACCACCACCACGCCCCGCCGCCGGGGCCGTACCCTCCGCCGATGGGGCCCCCGCCCCCGATGGCGGCCCACATGGGGCAGGCGATGGCCGGGGCGGCCGGCGTGGGCGGGGCGTACGGCGGGGGCGGCGGGGGCGGCGCGTACGGCGCCGTGGGGGCGTACGGAGCCGGCGTGGGCGGGGCGTACGGCGCCGGCGGGGCGTACGGCGCCGCCGCGGCGGGGGCCTACGGCGGCGGCGGCGGCGCCGGCGGCGCGTACGGCGCCGCCGGCGGCGGCGGCGGGGGCGGCGGCGGCGCGTACGGCGACCAGCGCGACGCCCGGGCGGCCGCGGCGGCCGCGGCGGCTTACGGCAGCTACGTGGACTACTACGAGCGCTACCGCCCCGCGTACTCGGCGGCCGTGGCGGCCGCGGCCGCGGCGGCCTCGTCGTCGGCCGCGGCCGCCGCCTACCCGCAGGGGGCCGGCGGCGGCGGCGGCGCGGGCGGCGCCGGCGGCGGCGGCGGCGGCGGCGGCGCCGGGGACCTGGACTACCTGCAGCAGCAGCGGCTGTCGTCGGCCGCGGCGGCCGCGGCGGCCGCCACGGTGCCCCCCGGCACGGGCCCCCCGGGGACCGGGTCGGCGTCGGCGTTCGGGTACGGTCGCGACCGGAGCCCCGTGAGCCGCGGCGGGGCCGGCGTGGCCGCCGCGGGGCCCGGTTCGTACGGATACGAGCGCTCCCGGGTGTCGCCCACGCGAAGCAGGTACGGCGGGGCCGGGGGGGGAGGGTCGTGGCGGGTTTCTGGGAGGTGCCGGGGCGTGAACCCGTGGCCGATGAGCGGCGTTGGAGGCGGCGGAGGTTGTGGCGCCTGAGCCCGGCTCTTGCCGCTCTCCCGCTGTGTCGGGGTCAACTCGGGGTCAGCTCGGGCGCGGCATGAGAGAGTGGAGAGTTTTCCATACCTGGGCAGTGTGCTTATGACCGGCTCCAGTTTAACAGCAGAGGTCTCGCTCCGAATCAGTCGAGCGGCAAATATCTTTTCATCGGTTGCGTAACGCTGTGTGGAAGCTACCTGGTCTGTCGCTCCGCACTAAGCTTCAGGTCTTCTCGGCCACGGTCATTCCCTCCCTTCTCTACGCTTGCGAAACGTGGACCCCCCCCCCCTAATGGAACATCTTCGCCGGTTAGAAACATTTAGGCTGGCCCTGCCTACGATCCATCCTGGGTTTGACCAGACTGGATTGTGTGAGGAGCTCACAAATCCTTGAAAGATCTGGGCAAGGTCCCATCGGTGAGCTCCTCCGGCGGGCAAGGCTGCGATGGCTGGGTCATGTAGCCCGCGTGCCCAGCCACCGCGTGCCCGAAACAGCTTTTGTTCGGCCGGATCGAGGGGGCTAAGCGGGCGCGGCACCGGGGGCTAGAGGAGAGACGGAGTGACGTTTGGTACGGGAGGACGTGGAGCCGAGTGGACTTGCCGATGACCGGTGCCGGCGGCGTCAAGGTCGGCCTCTGTGGAGGAGGCTCGTGAGGGACGACGCTGCTGGGCAAGTTGGAGGCAACTCATTGGTTTTTTCCGGTAAAGTCAAGTATGTAGGAATGCAATAATTTTATTGTAAATACAATAATTTTATTGTAAGTACAATAATTTTATTGTAAGTACAATAATTGTGTTGTCTTCCTACATACGCGACTTTACCGGGGAAAAAAAAAAAACCTGATGAGTATTTTTATGCAGTCACGAAAAGCTTTTTAAGACTTTAAGTTGGAGGCAGTCGCCCTCCCAAAACAACAAAGCGGAGCTCCGTGCGGGGGGCGGGTTAACGTGCTCGGCAGTCGGATCGGCGTTCCGGTGAGGACCCTCGTGGGGGGCCCTCATCGCAGCTCGAGAGGGAGGGAGGGAGGCCATTCAAAGATGCGTCGCAGCGAAAACAAACGGAAAATGAATCTACCCGTGAAACGGCAAAACGAGAACCGGCTTCTAGAGGTGCCGTTAGCGAGGGAATGTGGTTGCCAGTCCGGCTCTATTTCTGAGGGTGTTAGGCAGCGCGGAGTGTGGAGGAGGAGGAATTTGTCCACCCTCTCTACATCCGCCCCGGTGGTTGGGAAGAGAGCGGGGAGATCGAAACGGAAAAAAATATTTATTAAAAAAAACCCTTTACATGTAAGGCCGTCACAACCATAGCTCGACCCAAGTAGCTGGATATCATCGTCATCATAATCACGCGGGCATTTCTAGCAGTCAGATTCTCTGTAAACGTCGATGGGTCTCTATGTAATGACTATGCGATGAGGCTATGGGTCTCTGCTATGAGGCTATGGGTCTCTGCGTGATGAGGCTATGGGTCTCTGCGTGATGAATGTGGGTTTCTATGTAATGACTATGCGTCTCTGTGATGAGGCTATGGGTCTCTGCTCTGCGTGATGAATGTGGGTTGCTATGTAATGACTCTGCGTCTCTGTGATGAGGCTATGGGTCTCTGCGTGATGAGGCTATGGGTCTCTGTGTGATGAGGCTATGGGTCTCTGTGTAATGAGGCTATGGGTCTCTATGTGATGAGGCTATGGGTCTCTGTGTGATGAGGCTATGGGTCTCTGTGTAATGAGGCTATGGGTCTCTGTGTGATGAGGCTATGGGTCTCTAATGAGGCTATGGGTCTCTGTGTGATGAATATGGGTCTCTATGTTATGGCTATGCATCTCTATGTGATGAGTCTATGGGTCTCTCTGCAATGACTCTATGCGCCTCTGCAATTCGGTTATACACTTAAACTAAACCATGTTGACGTTTTTGGCGGGTGTAAGGCCCCCAGCTGAGCTGCTACGTGAGTAGCTCTGTTGTCAGAAATGACCTGGCCATCACAAACGAGAGCTGATGTCTTATTCTTTGGGTCCTTCGCAGGCAAAGTCCCCGCAGATGGTTAACAAAAAATAAGAAAAACTGCGGATTTTGTTGTTGCTTTGTAACCAATCTAGCTGACGTTACCGAAGGGCCCGAAAAAATATTAATTCCTGCAGTCACGAAAACTTTAAGGTTGATATCGTCACGTGGACAATTCAGTAGTCACTCACCAGACTCACGTTGTAGTGAGTAGTCACTCACTAGACTCACGTGGTAGTGAGTCACTCACCAGACTCACGTATTGAGTAGTCACTCACCAGACTCACGTTGTAGTGAGTAGTCACTCACCAGACTCACGTGGTAGTGAGTAGTCACTCACCAGACTCACGTTGTAGTGAGTAGTCACTCACCAGACTCACGTTGTAGTGAGTAGTCACTCACTAGACTCACGTGGTAGTGAGTAGTCACTCACCAGACTCACGTGGTAGTGAGTAGTCACTCACCAGACTCACGTGGTAGTGAGTAGTCACTCACCAGACTCACGTAGTAGTGAGTAGTCACTCGCCAGACTCAGGTTGTAGTGAGTAGTCACTAGACTCACGTGATAGTGAGTAGTCACTCACCAGACTCACGTTGTAGTGAGTAGTCACTCACCAGACTCAGGTTGTAGTGAGTAGTCACTCACCAGACTCACGTTGTAGTGAGTAGTCACTAGACTCACGTTGTAGTGAGTAGTCACTCACCAGACTCACGTGGTAGTGAGTAGTCACTCACTAGACTCACGTTGTAGTGAGTAGTCACTCACCAGACTCACGTTGTAGTGAGTAGTCACTCACTAGACTCACGTTGTAGTGAGTAGTCACTCACTAGACTCACGTTGTAGTGAGTAGTCACTCACCAGACTGACGTGGTAGTGAGTAGTCACTCACCAGACTCACGTGGTAGTGAGTAGTCACTCACTAGACTCACGTGGTAGTGAGTAGTCACTCACCAGACTCGCGTAGTGAGTAGTCACTCACCAGACTCAGGTTGTAGTGAGTAGTCACTAGACTCACGTTGTAGTGAGTAGTCACTCACCAGACTCACGTGGTAGTGAGTAGTCACTCACTAGACGCACGTGGTAGTGAGTAGTCACCAGACTCACGTGGTAGTGAGTAGTCACCAGACTCACGTTGTAGTGAGTAGTCACTCACTAGACTCACGTTGTAGTGAGTAGTCACTCACCAGACTCACGTGGTAGTGAGTAGTCACTCACCAGACTCACGTGGTAGTGAGTAGTCACTCACCAGACTCACGTTGTAGTGAGTAGTCCGTCACGTGGGTTGGGTGGATATCTGGGGGGTTCCTGCCGTGTACGTAGGAGTGGGTGGGTTGGTGGGGGTGTCTGTGGGTAGCTGTGTGTGTGTCTGTGGGTAGCTGTGTCTGTGGGTAGCTGTGTGGGTGTCTGGGTAGCTGTGTGTGTGTCTGTGGGTAGCTGTGTCTGGTGTAGCTGTGTCTGTGGGTAGCTGTGTGGGTGTCTGTGGGTAGCTGTGTGTCTGTGGGTAGCTGTGTGTGTGGGTAGCTGTGTGGGTGGGTAGCTGTGTGGTTGTCTGTGGGTAGCTGTGTGGGTGTCTGTGGGTAGCTGTGTGGGTGTCTGGGTAGCTGTGGGTCTCACCGCCTAGCTCTGTGGGTTGGTGGGGGTGTCTGTGGGTAGCTGTGTCTGTGTGTGTGTAGCTGTGTGTGTGTGTGTGTAGCTGTGTGTGTGTGTAGCTGTGTGTGTAGCTGTGTGTGTGTGTAGCTGTGGGTGTAGCTGTGTGTGTGTGTGACTGTGTAGCTGTGTGTGTAGCTGTGTGTCTCTGTGTGTAGCTGTGTGTCTCTGTGTGTAGCTGTGTGTGTGTGTAGCTGTGTGTGTAGCTGTGTGTGTGTCTGTGTGTAGCTGTGTGTGTGTGGGTCCCCTGCGTGTCTCACCGCCTGGCTCTGTGCGTTGCGTTGCAGGTATCAGTACGAGTATTACCAACAGTGAGCGTTCGACTGCGGCACAGTTAAAACCTTCGTGAGAGCCCCCCACGGTGAACCCACAAAACAAACCCCCCACCCTCCACCCTCCCTACACCCTCCCTACACCCTCCTTACACCCCTACCTACACCCCCACCCTACCCCACCCCTACACCCTCCCTACACCCCTCCTTACACCACCACCTCTACACCCCCACCCCTACACCCCCACACCCCCCCACCCACCCCTACACCCCACCCACCCCTACCCCACCCCTACACCCACCCACCCCTACACCCCCACCCTACCCCTACACCCCCACCCACCCTACACCCCCACCCACCCCCCCACCCACCTACACCCCCACCCACCCCCCCACCCACGTGTACATACTCCGCGTCGCCGCGCGTCGCCGCCCTCCTCCTCCTCGTCGTCGCTCTCACGCCGGAGATCGTCGTCGCGACCGCCGTCGCAGTCGTCGTGGCAACCGTCGTCGTCGTCGTGGCGACCGTCGCTGCGGACGTCGTCGTCGTGGCAACCGTCGCTGCGGACGTCGTCGTCGTGGCGACCGTCGTCGTCGTGGCAACCGTCGCTGCGGACGTCGTCGTCGTGGCAACCGTCGCTGCGGACGTCGTCGTCGTGGCAACCGTCGCTGCGGACGTCGTCGTCGTGGCGACCGTCGCGGCCGTCGTCGTGGCAACCGTCGTCGTCGTCGTGGCGACCGTCGTCGTCGTCGTGGCAACCGTCGCGGCAGCCACCGCGGTGTCCTGGCCCGCCGCACCCCCACCACGTTACCACGTTACCACCACACATAAACACACACAGCAACAACACACAGTCACACAACACATACACAGCACACACACATACACAGCAACAACACACAGTCACACAACACACAGACACACACACAGCAACAACACAGACACAACACACAGGCATACACAACGACACATACACATACACGCACACACAACACACACAACAACACATACACTAACACACACAGA